TTCTCTAGAAAAAGAGACTTTTTCTCTACAATATTCTATGAGCACACTTTTCTCTGAGCACGTAAAGTCTCACACAAAGCACTTATTTATAGACTCCTAATAAACCATATAATAACCCTTACCCAAAATCTAAAAACACTAACTTACCTAAAAACACAAAATAATAACTTTACTAAAACTAATTTGAGTCACTAATCTAACACGTTCGAGGTCCAACCTTTGATGTTAAGTTTGATGAACGTTACGGGTGTTGAAAAAAGTACTCTCCGAAGCTTACTTCTCACTCTTGTGTGGAAGGAGGGATTGAATTTTGTAGGCGTTGAATAATTATAACCATTAGGTTTGTGCGTGGCTAAATTTGGTTAAAAGCTTGCTGTATAGTCTAAAGCTGCATGGGAATATGATGTTTAAAGATGTCAGCCGATCAATCCCAATTCATATTCTCCTTAATTGAACATATCCCTTGGCCCAAATTTGTTCTTATCCCAATGGGTTGGTATTAACTCCTAGAAATAGAAAGCAACACTAAGTAATATATTATTATCCTCATATAATTGGTGTCAAACTGAATATTGAAAAAACCTAATGCCTGCAACATAAGATTTTTGTATATGATGCAAGGAGATCAGGTCTGAGATACATGCATATTAATTCCATAGTATGAAAAACTACCTTATTCAGTTGATTAATTAGATGAATATATCTTCTATTATTTGTACCTGAATTCTAGTTCAAGAATTAAAGACAAAGCTAACCTATATTATACATGCACGTACAGTTTTGATATAGCTTTTTACATGACCTTATCACGGATATATATATATATAGCAATATATGATATAGCTTTTGTTTTGATACATATGCCCAACCAAATCAAGATAATTACTAGCTAGCTAGATATATATATATATATATATAAACATACATATTTGTGAGCAAAACAAAGAACAAACACAAAAGCAATTTGTGATAAGTTTCCATATATGCTAAGAAATGAACCAATTAAGGAGGTCCGTCCAATTTAGACGTATTTTAGAAGGATAAAAGCCATGCAAGTTGTTCAAAGTCATACGCCGGAATTTATGAAACCATGACAAATATTGACAGATGATAAAACTGGCTATATATCTAGAATACTAGTCTTAGGTCCTTGCAAATATTGATTTTCTTTGTCAAAACAGATATTCGAGTAAATTTTTTGTCTTGTTCCTAATATTTCTCCCTATAATCCAAGAGTTCTGGGCCACCTTGGAGTAAACAGTCAAGCATGGAAGGTTGCCGTATAAGCACACCGAAGGGGTCTCATTTATGAGCCCTAGTCTTGCTAATTATTTGGTGCACCAATCCAAATCAAGCAATACCAACCCAAGTCAATGTTTGTTTGCCCTCTTGTATCCCAGATGGGGACTCCTTACAGCCCATCTTGAAAGCGAGTGTTGTCATATATACACATACATACATACATGTATATGTGTGTATATATTTATATATGTCATAGTGCTATATAGCTATATAGTCCACTAGAGTCTACTCAATTAATAATGCCCATCTTCCTTCTTTGCGCATGCAAATTGTGTAAAATGAATATATATCCATTTTTTAGACCTACACTTACCACCACATTTCACATCATTATAATCATAAGCTGTTGAAAATGAGTGAATATTATCTTATCTTGTTTGTTCAATTTTCGCCATGGACCTAGCTATATATGAGTTTCCGCCTAGCTATTCCCTCCAACGGCCTGTTTATTGATGACAATTATTTGGTTGGGTTGGCCTTGTTATTGGGCTTGAAATTAACATCCGAAACACAGTTTGAACAGATCTCTCTAGTCATGTCAAGGCACAAACGAAAGGGTGTTGATGTAATAGGCCCATTAGTAGTTCTAAATTAACCGACATGAGACGACAGAGAATATGGGATGCCAATAGCCAATAGGTAGTATTATAGGTGTGTATCTATATACATATATATATGTGTGTGTGTGTGTGTGTGTGTATACATATATATATATATATATATATATATATAGAGAGAGAGAGAGAGAGAGAGAGAGAGTTCTTGACAGCTAGTTTTAATTTGGCTAGAAACGGCAATAGGCCAGGTAATATGAGTTGCAAACTGAAAAATCTTTTGATGGAGAGAGAGAGAGAGAGAGAGAGAGAGAGAGAGTTCTTGACAGCTAGTTTTAATTTGGCTAGAAACGGCAATAGGCCAGGTAATATGAGTTGCAAACTGAAAAATCTTTTGATGGTCTTTGGATCCTCTGATGTGGACAAAATGTGTGTACCTGAAAATGGATCCATGGGCCCAGACCAACGAAGAACTGGGCCCATTTTGTGCAAACAGCGGAAGCATATATGTTGCCAGTTCTAGGTACTCTCTCTCAGGTGGCAAAGATGCTGTCTAAAATCTCTGTCAGTCACTGCATTTTAAATATCTATTTGAGCAACACATTTCAATGTTGCACACTAGTTGCAGGGCAATAGTGCTTTAAAAAATGTAATTCAAAAGGTGTTTTTTTCAGTGATTTTATGAAGTTACGGGTTGTTCATATACATATCCTAATCCAACATTTCATGACTATGCAAAAAGGAATCACTGTTTTTTGGTTTGATTTGTGAACTCTTTCTTTTGCTGATAAGATAATTATGGAAGCAATCATCAAACTACTGTGGTGAAATTCTCATGTACGGGTAGATTAGATAAAATAAAATGATAAAGTGGTAGAAAATAAAAGATAAATCTTTTTGAATGTCAATTGATTTACTCATAGTACCCAATCATGGCATAAAAAGATCCGCTACTCAAAATTTTGGACAATAAGACTTCTATTAATCTCCAAGATTGATAGGAAAATATCCATTAAACACTTGTTAATTTCACGGAATACTGAGAGAAATTGAAAAAAAAAATAAGAGTAAACACTCATTTATAAAAATTCCACCTCCTTATATATAATGAGACTAATATTTTTATAGGCTGAATGTCCACTTGTTGATTCACAGAATAATAAAAGAAAATTTGAAAAAATAAGAAGAGTGAACACTCATCTATAAAAATCACCTCCATATATATAATGAGACTAATATAATAGAAAGCTACAAATAAATTTCAAAAATACATAATTATAAAAATTAAAGATGAAAATAGAAAACTAACTTATATTTGATCTAAGATCAAGCTAAAATGAGAATATTCTTTTTGTTACTTTAAAAGAATGAATATTCTTCTACAGTAATCTTTTTCTAGTCAAAAATATAATTCTCAATTGCACATGATTTCTTTCATAATATGACCGCATCCTTCTAACCTCAAGACTCCCTCATTTTGACAAAAATATGTTTTGAAGCCAAAAAAAAAAAAAAAAAAAAAGGGGCCTTT